CATGTAGATATGGCACTTCGGGACATGGTTTAGCAGGCATGGTGATGTTGGGTTGACAGATGGACTTTATGATCCTAGAGGTCTTTTCCAACCTTAATGATTCTATGATTCTATATTTAATCCAGAACATTATGTATTAAATGATATCTCTCCCACAATAACAAACACGCTGCAATAAGACAAACCGTTTTTCTGCTTCAAGCTTATCCATCCTCTTCCAGAGACGATTCACTAGTGCTTCTTGCTCTTGTTCCAAAGTATTTTCAAGGTCAATCTTCTCACGTCTTAGCTGGAGAGGAAAAACCATCATTGAAAATGATGGAAATATATTTTTTTGCAAGGAACTGTCATCAGCAAAGATCATTGCTACAACACCACAATTTTACATGATGCTCTACAACAGCAACGAGAAGGTGAAGAAGAGACAAAAATCAGGCACAACACACTGGTCACAGAGCCAGTGAACAATCAACTGATTCAGGAGTTGCACAGTTGTCATCTCCTTAACATAAATTTTTCTCACAGAACTTGTTATTTCTGGCCAATAAGGAAGAGCTTGAAACCTGTCACTCATGACATGACAAGCCTATTCAAAGACATCTCCTCTTCCATGCACCTCTGAAGTTCAAACTGAATTTACTGTCCACTGCACCAACATTTATTCTTCTGAAAAATTCTAGACTGTTTTAGCGGAAGAAACACAGCTAAGTAAGCCAGAAATGGAAGATAAGCCACATTTGCCTTGTATTAGATAAAAGAGCGACATAACAAAAATAGCAAAGAAAAAATTATGTGAACTGCCTGAAATGTTACTGTATCAACCCTTATTAGCAGAAACAAATGTATTTCTATCTTAGCAAAGGCTTTATAAAATTAAACACTTAACTTGACATTATTCCCATTCACTTGCTGTGTGATCAAACATTCTTGATTCTACTACAAGCTAACAAAAGTAGATATAATGTAGAACCACACATAAAGAAATCTATTATTAGTGTTTTAGTACAAATACACTGCAAATATTAATCAGAATACACCAGAACACTATGAGGCACAGCCGATCTTATTAAGTAACACTGGCAGCTGAACTCTAGAAGGTGGCAATAATGAAACACATATCAACACCTTTACAGGTGGAAATAGCATGGAGGTATTTTTTCCCAGTCAAGCCTTAGTTAACACTCACCACTTCCATGATAGGCAAATAATCTCACATCACAAAATGGAAAGACTGAAAGCAGATTAAGTGGTTTCCTCACACGTTTACTGTGTCACTGGGTGAAGTGCTATTACAGCATCTAAATCTGTAATGGCTCTGTGCTAACCACTATATTAATATCAAGATACCCAAACAAAATTTGAACTGATGCACTTCAGGTAACAGTGCAAGTTTAATGACTGTACAACTTTCTTCTTTACAGTTTAGAGGAATTAGTTACTATAAATAAAAATAGACATATATTGATGAGTAACAGGGAACATAATTAGAAAAAGAAACACTGTTTAGTAAATGTTTCCATGTCTGAGTTTCCAGAAGTTGAGGGAACTTACACTTCTTCAATAAAAGAGAAGTCAGGAGCAACGCACTTCAGCCTCACAGGAGGGATGAGAGTTTGGATCCTGACCGACACTTCGCTGCCCACACCAGCAGGAGCTGGAGTGGTACGAAGGCAAAGGGCTCAGCCACCGGAGATACAGTGCACTTTGCCTTCAGGCACTCCTTGTTAGTTATTTCAGCCAAGGCTTGGGGCTGACAGCATTCAGCGAGAAGAAAGTATACAAAATGTTCTGGGAATCTGCACACCATGCTTTTACATTACCAGCACATAGACCTTCGCTACACTGCACAGCTATCTGTACCAACATATGATGAGAAAGATTCGGCTGCAGAGCACTACTTCTGCAGCAACAGTTTCTGCATCACTTCACTGCAGCATGGTTTAGACTCGTCTACTCTGACATAGTCTGTTTACAACCATGTTATTTATCTAGCAACAAAAAAGCCCACAAAAACATACTGGTGAAAATAACTCTATTTCATGTAATGGTAGGAAGAAGAGCACACTGGAATCTGAAGACAGACTAAATTATTTACAACCTTGGATTTGAAAAATCTAAGATTACATTTAGTATTATAGCAACCATCAACAAGGCAGGGGAGTCCATTAATCAGAGATCTACATGTAGGTGAGCATGCACAATGGCAAAATCAAATCATCAACAACAATATACAAATGAGCCTTGTGTTGTGCCCTGAAGGCTGACAGACACGCTCTGAGGAAACATCAAAGAAATCGGGGTGTGAAACAGAGATCTAAACCTCCACGTTTCCAGTAATATGAAAATACACTGGAAACAAGTATCTTCCTTTCCTCATCTTGAGTGTTGTCCCAATTGCTCCCAGTGTCACAACAGTAAAGGGTCGCCACGAATTCACACCCCTGGTTAGGATGTTGCAGTTGCTTCTGTAGGCTCAATTTTATCCTCAAAGCTTTACGGTCGCCACGCCAACGAAGGCGACAACTTGTCGCCTTCGTTGGCGTGGCGACCGTAAAGCTTTGAGGATAAAATTGAGCCTACAGAAGCAACTGCAACATCCTAACCAGGGGTGTGAATTCAGAGAATAAGGTATATTTGTTTTGTACTAGGTAGTTTCAGGTGTACTTTGAAACGTAGTCTACCTCTAGTCAATTAATTCATCAGGAAAACGATAATATTCTGAACTAAAATAAGCAGGATAGGATTATAGCTCAAGAACAAACCAACAACTCTGTCAATACTAGTGTCATTCTACATGGGTTCAAAGTAACATCCCAGTCAAACATCATTTCATTTTTACTATCACAGCAGGGAAACGAGCAAGTATTCCTTTGTTTTTTGGACCTTAATCTTCCCTTCAGAGGAAGAGAAAAATCCCTTTTAACCCTTCTCACCATCCAATTGTGTTTCTCCTCATCTCTCTCTTTCACGCGTACACTTACTGTACTTCAAATGCAGCTAAAACACCAACTGTCTGCATATTCCTGGATTACTGCTTCTTCAGTTTTCTTGTCAACTTACTAACAAGTACAATTGTTCCCTCCTGAAACGGAGATCTTCCAAATCAATGAAAGTTAAACGTGATCTCTGCCTAAGCCTACTATCCCAAATTTCACTTCTCTGCTTCTCATCTGTCCCTCCCCCTTTGCAGCTTTAATTCTTTGCTGCTCTCCAAGAATATCTTTCCAGAAGATTTTACACATTTTATGTTCTCCTTTCAAAGAAGCAGTCATAGGAAATTATTATTAGCAGTTTAGCTCTTGTTTCTCGTCTCCTAACTGCATCAATTCTAGTTGCTCACTGTACTGTATGAAAGAGAAAAGCAATTAAAAAGAGTAACAGCAAGACTACACAAACTTGGCCTCTGTAGGACAAAACTGACAGCTATTTATTTGCTATCAAACCACTGAACTATAACACAGAACATTATTGCTCTTTTTAACTGAGACATTCAGTTAATGAAATAGTCACATGTTGCAAATTTCTTCACCATTAGCCTTCAGAGAAGAATGTTCGGCACTTCAAGCTGACTTTAGAAAATCAAGTCATATCACATTTGAACCCTAAGATCCAACTTAATTTTTTAATTAGAAATAACATTCTATGCAACCATCACTGTTACAAACTGGCTACCTACTGATCACCTGTGGCATAAGCAGCTCATATGAGACACAGCAAAGGAGGAAGGACATAAAGCACAGATAATTCACATTACTTATTTTAAAAATAATAGCTCAGAGAAAATATGTTGCAACTATCGGCTCACTGATTACAGTGATAGCTCCAGTAATGCAGCCCTAACTTATGTTCAAAACATTGCTGAAGTACTCCTTCCAAGCCCAGTTTAGCACGTCTCCCAGAGTTTATGTTGAAGCATTGTAGCAATCTCTCTTCCTTAATTTCCTATGCGTACAATACAAGCAACGTTGCTCTGCTCACAACTTTTGATTGTTTCTTGCTAGGTACAGGATATGCCCCACAGACTGTTGCTTCAGCTGGTTAATTAGTACAATAAGCTTTTTTTAAATTTGTGTAAGAGAAGAAACCATGCTGAAGTTCAAAGTAACCTAAGATTTACTGTACCTTACTCTAAGAGAAAACAAAGTATACATTGCATTACATATAAATACGCATAATTTCTAAGTAAGACTGCCAGCCAAATTTAACATCTTCATAAGCAAAGTTAAGTTTTCAAGGTCAGACATTTGAGAGAAAGACCTTTGACCATCCATGTCTTTTGAACAATCTATTGTTGATATTCCAACGTAGGAACAAGTTTCAAATTTTATTCTTTTACAAGTCTGTCTGCCTAGAACAACGATACTAAAACAAATGCCATTAAGTTTTCAGCTGTGGCTCATGCTAACATTTCAAAGACTAAGCCCGCTTGGCATGTAAGCGGTCTTTGGATTTTGATTGAGCGGCCGCTACCACCACCTTGTGGCTACGAGAGTTATTTCAATCTCCTGTCGATAGCCACGCTGGTCAAAGATTTGGTGGCAACCACATCTTCCCACCTTTCCGTTTTTCAATTTGTACCATAGACTTCTCCATATATAACGTCAGCATCACAATCAAGAAAACCCATTTCATCATTCAGCCATTAATTAACTTAGCCACAATGTAAACAGAAACAGGAGAGTCATACAAAACTGGTAGAAATTCAGATTACCAGAAACAAAAAGGTTCCACATCTGATGAGAACAGCAACAAAAATTCACAGAAAAAATGTACTATATTTACACCACCCAAATTACTGGACTTCTACAAGCTGGAATAACTGAAGGTCTTCAACAAGCTTATATGTTTCATCAGTTCGCCTTTTAAGTCAAAAGGACTCCTACTAATGCCACTGAGATGCTTTGATGCGCATGCCTGAAATTAGACATAAGATCAGTCCCGATGTCTAAACGTCCAGTGGAAACATGAACAAAACAAGTGGTGTTTTATGTCTGTAATCTCCATAACTGTTTAGGGAGAAAGGGAGTTGCATGTAGTCGAATCTCAAATCTTTTTCAGTATACACACAGCTGACATCTCACAGTTCGACTCCTCTGCCATCCAAGCTGCCACAAAAGGTGACCTAGAGCACAACTAGACCACATACATTTCGTTTACTGCTGTGCTTAACCACTTTCAGAAGTGACCGTCTTTCTCACTAACAGCATGGGAGTGGAAGCTGATAAACCACAAGAAGAAGCATTAGTTGCAAAAAAGTTGTGCTTGCAAAACTCACAGCTGTCCATCAGACATGAAGGCCTACAGCAAAGCTACTAAAAGTTATAATGGCTGTGAAAAAAAAAGTTAATGAAAGTTTCTCCCAGTAAATAATGTCAATGACTTACTGCTTTGAAAGTCAGACTGGCTTTGCTATATTCTTGCCCAGTTTCTTACATACTTAAAAAGCTAAGTCAAATATAACACAAAATAAGTAATTTTTTTTTCCAGAATCCCTTGTTTTACAGTCATATAATTTTGAAAGAAAGGAGTTACCTGTTCCAGGGTGAGCTGCTTTGAAATTGTATCATTTTCCAGTTTTTTAATCTTCTTCATCAGTTTGTTTACTTGGAATTCCTGTTCCTGCTCTAAATGCTGCTCCAGTTCAGCTTTCTCATGCTGCAGCTATAAATTTAGGAGACATGGAAGTATTTTAAATGCACAAATAAAAGTATGAAACATTATGCACCTTTTATACATTTATTTACACATGCTTTTTCTTATCGCATGTTCAATTCCCTACTGATAACTCTTCTCAAAAGACTTCAAATAGCACAACCCATTCAACAGCCCTTCAAAAAGCAACATTTTAAACTGTGTTCCATTTACAAAGTAAATAGAAGTAAACTACATTTCCAAATATTTAATAAAGTCAAATCAAAATAGATACATTATATATAGCATATAAAATAATTATAGACATTTCAAAAGTAAAAAAAACTATCATAATGTTCACAAAAGCATTAATTTTAATCTCAATGCATCATCTCAAGAGCACCCAATGCATAAAATGCAGATCTTAGCACGTCCTTGAAAGCTTAAAATCATGACTGCAGTCATACTACTGAAACTGCTGCGCAACAAGATAATGAAAAAATAAATCTAATTTCTATTCCTATGCTATGAAGAATCAAAAGATTTTGATGGCACAAAACCACTGGTTATTTCAAACCAATGTAATAAATTTTCTTAATACCAAGGAAATTTTTTTTCAGTTAATATTTTCAATGAAAAAAACTTCACTCTCAAAGCACTCAAGCAGATGGAAAGAACCAAACCCATATTTTAACATAAATTATGACTTGGAGTAGAGTCACTTTTAACGTTAGTCAAAATCACAATGGAATCCCTCCGAGACAGGGATCGAAGTCTTCCTCTGGATAAAGCAGTGTGACTGGCAGCATGGCATGGACACGTGAATTTGACTTACGGAACAGCAAATGTCACCAACAGACAACAGTGTAATTACACCGTGCTCTGGCCATCCACTGAAAACTGAAGGCACTTTTTTTCCACCTGCTTATTTTCTATGCCAGTTCTTCTGGCTACCACATAACAATAGGTAAGATCATAACATGAGGAAAATCTGAGGAAATGGAGACACGCCGCACAGTCATGGACAAAAGTCAAGGTTGCTGGATATCCACAGTGAAGAAATATACATTGATTTTAAAACAAGCTAAAATTGCTAGTTCATTAATACGGTTCTGTTTGCTGCTGTTTAGAGACAAAATGGTCTGTGCAGTGCGGCCTGGCAGAGAGTTCAGAGCAGAAAGGCTTGTGTGGAGAGAGCACTAGGCAGACAGTAACTACTTGGCAATGTACATATGGGAGAATTTTACAGTTTAACTGTGTTTTCAGGGTTTATCAATTTAAAGATTTTATTTTTCACAAATTAAAATAAACACCAGAATAGTAATTAAAAAATAAGTGAGATTTATTCCTTTCACTTACTGAATTACAGCATATTTTCCAAAACCTCTGAAGCTCACGGAAATTCCTATGCACTTGAGGAAGCCACCTTGACTCCAACATGATAATCACTGAGACTATCACGGCAGCTCTTGATCAAATCGTTAGGAAATTTTGTTAAACTGTCTAGTTGGAAATAAAGCCATTTCATTTCTTGTGTGAGAATATGCAGGGCCGCTAAGTGAGATTTTCATTAGAAGGAAAAAAAATATTCACTCTTTTAAATGAAAACACTGTTTGTGTTTCTTACTTCAGCATTGGAGATATGCTTGGTTGAAAAAAAAAAAAAAGGTTTGATATGAAAAGGACACTAATTAGTCTCACAACTCTGTAAGGCCCTCTCCTTTCCTTCCCTACTCCTACATAGCAGCTATAGTTTGAGACTGAAGACAGCCAAAGAGCCCAAGGAGCAGACAGTGTGCAGATTACCACCTAGCTCAAGGTACTTGCTGCACTTCCATCGATCTTCATTTTGCCTCATTAAGAGCTAGATGCTTTTTTTTAACCTAGCTAAAAATTGAGACCAAAGCCAGTTGATGTAATCAGCTTCCATTTAGTTAGCAAATTAAACGGTGCAAACAGGCACAGAGCCAGAATCTCTTGCTCAGCCTAAATCCAGATGCTGCTAACAGAAAAGCGTGTGGTTGGGGACCGCCGGCATTTGCAGACAGTCCAGTGCGTCGGGCCAGTCGTACAGTTGTATGAAGGCACCTCAAACCAACTTAACAGCAAATACTGTTTCTTGCTCTCGTGTGCTTCATGCAAATGCAACTACCGTATTGTTTAAAACAAATTGAGCTGCAACAGCACGATCTTGCTTGTTAAATCATTCCTCCTAAAGCTTGCTGTAATTTCCATCACGCAGGAACTGATGAGGCTCACTCGTTAGATCTGTAGCTACTGTGTAGGACCTGCTAAACCCTACCTTGGGAGTGTGAACATACTGCAGCCAATGGACCATTCCAGCTGATCAGAAAGCTCCTAAGTGAAGCCAAGAGAGACCTGTTACACGAATATCTTCTAATTTGATTTTAACATAAATACACCAGAAAGCAAAGTGACTGGGAAAAAAAAGAACCCGCTAACACTTTCCCCTTGAGCACTAAAAGGGTTTATAACATGAAAGCCCTCTCTCACATTCACAGAATCACAGAATCACAGAATAGTAGGGGTTGGAAGGGACCTCTGTGGGTCATCTAGTCCAACCCCCCTGCTGAAGCAGGGTCACCTACAGCAGGCTGCACAGGATCTTGTCCAGGCGGGTCTTGAATATCTCCAGAGAAGGAGACTCCACAACCTCCCTGGGCAGCCTGTTCCAGTGCTCCGTCACCCTCAGAGGGAAGAAGTTCTTCCTCATGTTCAGATGGAACTTCCTGTGCTTCAGTTTGTGCCCATTGCCCCTTGTCCTGTCACTGGGCACCATTGAAAAGAGCTTGGCCCCATCGTCCTGACACCCACCCTTCAGATATTTGTAGGCATTTATAAGGTCCCCTCGCAGCCTTCTCTTCTTCAGGCTGAACAAGCCCAGTTCCCTCAACCTCTCCTCGTAGGGCAGATGCTCCAGTCCCCTCACCATCCTTGTAGCCCATTCTGATGAACCTACTTTATTGTGCTACTCCCCTTTGCCCTTTCAGCTTCATTATTCAAAGTGGGAGAAAAATACCAATAATATACCCAAACACATATCAATGGTGTCTGTCACTCGTAATTGGGTAAAATAATTTTTCCCTTTCATTGGCTTTGATCACTATATCAAACAAAAATCAGTTAATGCTGAAACCCTAACACTGAAAAACAGAATCGCTAACAATGAGAAAATATCCACTAGTAAAACACCGGTGGATAGTGTTTATTTTACTTAGTAAAGTAAGAGAGTATTTTCAAACTGTTTTTAATTATACGCAATTATAGTAACAACTGTTTACAGATACATCTACGACTGCCAGCTAAAGAGGAGAAGAAAATGTGTTAGAACGTGTCACCTTGTTGACAATGTCTTATAGACCTTGAATTGCACACGGAAACTGTATGAGAAATACTGGGGGAATTTTCCAGCTATGTAAGATCAGAGATAGGTCTGGTGCAAGAGAGACAGCTAATAGTAACACCCTTCTCTCTCTACAGAAGTAAGTTTCCTGATGCAGTGTAGGACCACCTTACTTCCTTCCTGCACTGGCTTATTCTGGGACAGCAGAAAGTGTTTTTATGAAATGACTGAGCTAATGGATGAAGTTCCCCCTTAAAAAAGCCCTCTCATTTATCCCCCAGACTATGACCTTGTACATTGTACTGAACAGTCTATTTTTAGTACTCCAGCCCTCAAGATGTCCAATTCCTACTTTGCTGCATCCTGAAAGTCCTATTTATTAACAAATTTGTATCAGCAGTTCGCCTCCTCATTATGTCCAGATGTTCATCAAATAAATGATAGATGAGCTGACTCTGTTTATTCTGCAGAATCACATTTGCATCCTTGAGCTGACGCATCGTATTTTGGAGAGTAGGAAGGGTAATAGCTTATGTTTACAGACTTATAATTTTGAAAGAACTGTCAAGAATCAGACTTGCATGAGAAACAGCTCTGTATAGCCCCCCAATTACTTAATCTGTCTGACTACACATTATGCTATTATCTTGGTACGTTGTAACATTTTTCTTTCAAAGACAGATACTTGGACCAGTTTGCACTTCCACACATTTAAGGGCATTGAAAGAAATCTGTATTGGATTTTGAAAAGGACTGTTGCACAATTTAAAGAATAACTGACTTTACAAGTTCAAACAATATTAAATATTAACTATTCTTTTGAGCAGCCTTGTTTCACAAAAGATAAATTTTCAAGATTTACTACTTTAAATTTCAAAACAGCAACTCAACAAGTCCATGTCCACAGCTGCAAGAACAGATCCTGCATTAAAACACTTCTAATGATACTCTGCAAAAAATTTACTACCATTTTATAATGACTAGTGATCGAGGACTCTATAAAAATATTGTTCCAAACTTTCCAGAGACTTAGTCAGGTAGACAAAAATATGCTCAGAGTAAGTACATGGGAAAATACAGTGAATGTATATGAGGCTTGTAAGAACTTTATCAGGAATCTAGGTGTGAAAAGCTTTTGTTTACTCCAAAACCTCTGTTGAGATGCATGTGCTCCTTCACTTCTGCAGCATTAAGCCTAGAAAATTAAAAATTATGCTAAACAAAGCAAATATAACCAGTGAAAGCGTACACTTCTTTATTAGGCTTGTAGAAGCAGTAAAAGCTAATGCCACAGTTATAAATAGGTATTATCCAGCAGTGATATGGCACCAGAAAGCCTGGCAACAGGAAGAGAGTATTATTCCAGTGAAAACACCTTCTTTTATGTGCTACTGTGTATGTTTAGAATCAGTCTGGCATATAGTAGCATGTCTCAAAGTTAATTTCTTACAATATTGAAAACCTGATGCTACTCTGTGTTTTATAATAGTAGTGCACATCATGCTGAACTGGGAAATTGTTGTTCGGCTGTTAGGGAGAAGCACTGCAGCTCATGCTCTGGCAGACGGCTTTCACATTTAAAACGTTTTAACATTCTGGGAGCTCATTACAGATGCCACTCAATGCAATGCGTAAGCCCCTCCAATTGTCACAAACAAAGGTTTGACAAAGCAAAAAACACACAGGCACTATGAAAACAGGCCCTCTGCTAGGCTTTCAGCTGAATAACACGGCAGTAATTTTTTGACACAGCCACAGACTAGTAAACACTTGAAAAATTCAGAAACTACAAATCATATGCAGTTTACCAGAAGTACACCCCTCCCTCTTCCAAAAGGCAAAGTCTTAGACAAAACAGATTCATATGATTTTTTTTTTTCTCCTTACTCATACAAAAAACAGGAAGCCATTTGATGCACTATGTCTGAGAGCATGAATTTTGAAAGTGTAGTTCCAGGTCAGACCAATGTTGCCTGGCAAACAAACACAGAGATTAAGCGTTTAACCCCAAATAGCAAGAACGGTGGAACAACCAATTACTGACGACACTTTCACTGGAGACTACTGTACTTCTGGTTAAGTCATCATCAAAAGTCTGCATCTAACTTAGCTAGAATTCTCTCTGCAGCCAAGATACAAAAACCTGGAAGTGGGCATTTATCAGTTATTATTAGCCTTATAACTGCCTCATCCATCTTGCATCCTCTAACAAAGACAAATTGCTACATTCTAGTAAGTAACTTAAGTATTGGCACTCAGAAATCTCAGGAAAGTCAGAGAAGTAAATTGTACTTCTCTTAACTTTCTATGTCTGAAAAACATCAGTGAGGAATTTAGCATTACACCTGTGTAACGGAAAGAGCATCCTGAACTAAAAAAGATATTGTAATAAATACTAAGTTGACCATGTGATGTGTGCTAATAATGCCCTCTTTTCCACAAAACAAGTTTATTTGTCATGTCAGGAGTTTCTCTTCTCAGATTTTTTTACCTGGCAGTCTACATCGGTATAATTTCTAGGATTCATAACTGAAGAATCAAAGCTTCCAACTAACAGATAAGCTTTCATAAATCAAAAATCAATGTCAATATTATTTTTAGGTCTTTGCTACTTAAGAAAATTACCTGCAACTCACCAATATTCTAGTATCCACCTTCTAAATCCATGATCACTATAGAGATAGAAAATTATTTTTGTGGAAACTTACTGTAATATTCAAATGTTTGCTAATTCTACTGGCAAGCTCTTTAGGGGACGGGACTATTTCCTTTGTACATTTTATAAGCTGCTGAGCAGGTTACTAGTGTTTAGGAGAATATATTAATACACATTTTTTGCATTTCACAGTAAGTTTATCACATCAAAGACATAATCAAGCCATGAAATGAGATCTGAATTCAGCATGCACACAGGATAGTAGTTTCAGTACTAAACTGCTTACTTTAAAACAAACAAACAAGTCCTCCACCTGTACTGCAGGTCTTGAGCTACTCTAAAGGTATGAAAAGTCATGCAGATGTATGGATTATGAAACCTGCTGACCAGGCAGATTCTTCTGACACAGTTTAAAATATGCTTTGCACTAGAGCTTTGGTATATCCCTTATCATCTTCTCCTCTGTGCACTGCAGTTAACAGGTGAACCTGTAAGCAAGATATTCCATGCCACTCACCCTTCACAGGCACAACCACTACCAATATAGACACGATGCTGACAGCTGTCCTCTTTTTCAAGCAAGCTGGGTTAATATTTAGATTGAGGACAAACTCACCATTTACTTCCAAAAACTGCTTCCTGATGACACTGAGAGAAACTACACAGTTTTAGGACTAATAACTTGGAACAGAGGTGCATTTAAGAATTGTCACCTTTTAAAATCTTCTTGTTGACACGACCACGTTTATCAAACTCTGAAGGAGGCTTACAGGAAGGCCACAGGAAACTAAGTGTAAGGCTGTAGGCTGAGACACGGTTTAATAAAAGCAGGCAATGGTCAGAATTTTACCTCCACGTTATTGTAGTTATGACTATGTAATTATTTTCTTTCAGCAAAACCTTGCAGCTTGCCTACTGAAAGCTGGATAGTATTTATGGGACAATGTTGAATCCAAGGCTAAGGATTTTCTCCAGATGCTGTACAAAAAGCAGTAACAACTTTGGTTTTATGCCTGCGTTCTGTTTCAGATATACAAGCTTCTCTGAATCTTCCTGTCACTAGTGAGAATGAAGTTACACCCTTTCAGGGTTTCCAACGGACAAACAGCATAATGCCCTTGCATTCTCTCATACATTACAACGAGGCACCCCTTGGCCATTTTGAGAACACTAGATTGTCACCTCTTTCCTTAATTTGGGGCAACTGTCAAAGGATACTTTCCGAAAGATCACAGCAGACAAAAATAAAAATTAATTGTAGTTTTAGGTTGACAAGAAGCTTGTATTTCTCTTTGTAATGTGTGAGCCTATTTTGCATAATGTTAGTAATTCAAGAACTGTTACAGATACAGCTTTAAAGGAGTCTCCGTTGAATTACAGGAAAAAGGCTAAGCATATTTTAAGCAATTAGTAGACACAGCAATCCAGCTGCTGCAGAACTTGTGCAGTAGAAATCTGTGTGCAGGGTCATTACAAGAGCTCAAAACCCTTCAGCCAAATAAAGTGTTATTTAAGCTTTTACTTTGTTCTACACAATGTATAGTACAGCCCCAGGTAACCTGGTTCTGTAACCAATTTCTACTTGGCCCTTTCAATTACACTACATTGCTCAACATACTATTTCTCCCTTTACTGGAAGAGACTTCAGTGGAAAGCTTTTTCTAATAGTGACGATACCCCTATTTTACTGCCATCTGCTTCTCTACTTTTCATTAAAATGCACAACTTTGAAAGCAAACGTAAGTCTTACTCAGAAACATTCTTGTCAGTCCTCAAGAATAGCAAGGGGAAGGAGTAATACCAGATTGAGGATATTTTATCTTGATACTTAACTTACCATGTGATAATAGGCACCAAATACACAAAGTCATAGAAGTCCCAGTTTTCAGTAACAAACGCATCAGACAGGATTAGCTCTAATGTCAATTCCAGTGTATTTCCTAACTGCAGGACTGAACATGCCTTAAGTCTCCAGCTGCAGAACATAAGAAATGCGTACAACATACAAACTAGGCTCTTTAAAACTGGCTAGTTTTTCATGACAAAGCTTGTAATTAATGGCATGAAAAAAAACATAGTGGGTCACACCTAACTACGTACCCTGTCCCCTACAGAGGCCAAAAGCAGGTATCTAGGCAAGTCTATCAGAACAGCGCTAGCATATACAATAGTTCCAACAAATACTTACCCACTTTCCAAAAATTAACAACTTCGGTAACGAAAAGAAGTTTCTCTGCCATACATTGTCACAGCATCTTCAACTTTCTACCTTTAGCACCCAACTGGTGTGTTTTAATTCAAGAGAAGGAACTGTTCTGTTAAAACTATGAACAAACTTACAGATAAAGCTCTCCTTCAAGCCTCACTGCACATTCTTGTATATAATGTTTAATATTTCAGGACTCCTGTTAAATATCAAATACTCCAGAAAAAACCATCTGTTTCACTAACATTTTTAATTTATCAGTAACTCTCTTCTGTAAGGCAGTTCATTTATTTTAAGCTACATTCATTTCTTTGCACGTCTATACGAACATTCAGGTTCTCAACAGTAAGAGTATGCAGATGCAAACTTCAAAGCAACACATTAAAAAACACTTACTCACTACACTTGTACTTTGCTTGTATCACGTCAGCTTTACAACAGCTACAACCTGACCACATCCCTCTGACTGCAGTCACACTAACAAGAAAGCTCAACCACCAGCTGGTCCTGAAGCTCCTGGGAGAAACATCAGTAAAGGCAGCAGTTACCTGCATCAGTTTTCTTGAGAGCTCATTAGTGAGAAATTCCTCTTCCTTTTCATAGTTTACTGCAAGTGTTTCTTTTTCTTTCTGCAGAGCTTGAATCTTCTTAAATAGAGTATTACTGATGAATTCCTCTTCCTGCTCTGCCCTTGCTTGCTGTGAAGTAAAGACACACTTTTAAGAAAAAAGGGAGCAAGTTTCCACATTAAAAGCTGCAATTATACCATTCCCCTTTAAATGCCCTCCACCTCTTGCCCCCCCCCCCTTTTTTTTTTTTTTTTTTTTTAAATCTTGCCCATTGTTCTGGAGAACTGCAGGACGGATCTAACTGCTGTTACCATCCTCTTTTCTAACATTGTAGTACCTTTCTTCCTTTTTTGTTACCCATCTTTCAACTTGGGAAACGACACTCGTGCTTCAAAGCGGCTTCCCCCCAACCAAATGCCCAACTTCCCCAACCTTTTAAACTTGATGAAAAAGCATTACGGAATCACAGATACCTACTTTTACCTACTCTATTCCTAAAAACAAACTCCTCTCTAAGCGTTCTCCATTACGAGCTGAAGCACAGCTCTGAGACAGCTGCATTCAGCACCATACCTTCTTTCCAGATCCCTTAGACTGCAGCCCTTGCTTTCAAGAAGTCAAGTAACACGTGTATTCTTTCACCCAGATATGCCTTGCTTCTGAGCCACAGGCAGCACAGCTCATCTCACGAGGATTTCTACCATGCCACCAGCCCCGCAAAACATACTCACATTACTTCTCAGAAGCATTACTTCACTACATACAACATCAACTTTAAAAACTGCCGTGTGGTAGCTTTACCCTGAGGATTTCTACATTTCACAAGAGCAGAGCTACTCTGGAAATCTTCCCCAAGAAGAATCACTAGAGAAGACAATTTCCATTTCACCTCTCCTATAGCAGCTAGGCACTGCTCAACAGAAAGCCAACTTGTGAGCTCGTTCCCTCGCACTCCCTACAGTTCAAGTGTTTGTATGGGGCTTTTCATGTACATATTAGAAACTTGATAAATGGAAAACAGAAGTTATCTTCTGGAAGTGTGCTCTAAAAGGCCACAAAGGATATTTCATAGTGGCAAATGAAAGATCACAGCTACAAACTGGTAGAGCCAACTCTTAATTCCACAGTTCAAAGACAGCCCAGAACAACAGAATAACAGAAATACAGAATTCCCAAGCCATCACCTTTAACAAAAACGACAATGTAGTGTTGAGGAGTGTTTTCACCCCCTGCAATAAAATTCACATCACTTTAACTGCAAATTTGTGATTTGCCCTAATAAAATGCTACCAGTTTATAGCTTACAGTATCTAAAGATTTAGTGAGATTTATTTTTGTAAAATTTGATACAGGAAAATTTAAGAACTGAAACAGAAGCATAACTAGAGTTTTACTGAAAGCTTAGTTTCCATAATCTTCTACCCAAAATAACCACCTCTTTATACATATTATACACTGGACAAATGCTCAAAAGGTTTCACTATGTCAGTGATCTTTCAACTGGAATGACATATTCCCTAATAGTCCCAAGAGACAACTACTTAAACAGAGACACCTTCCATGCCTGCAAGAAGGGTTACTTAAAGAACATGAATGTCTTTGAAGTTGGTGGAACAATAGGACAACTGTGAATTTTCCTCATGATATTGCTGGTATCCTAAAGTGTAAAGCAGTGATTTGGAAACTTCTCAGTTGAGTCCTCCTTCCATCAAGTCCTCCTCTTCACTTTGCCTTCTTGTGCGTTCTCCCATCTCTATTGCTTTCTTGTCTCGGCCCTTTCTCACTATTTGCCACCAGCTCCCTTCTCCCTGTCACCAGCAGAGCTGGCACAAACCCAACCTGGGAAAAAATAAGAAAAGAGAAGAAAAAGAAAAGCAAGGTCTGGCACAGTTACTAGCTTAGGAGCTTAGGTCCGGCACAGGACCTCCTTTTTAATGTTTGTGCATCTCAACGGCAGAGAACCACTACTCCAGCACGTTCAGCATTGGTATTATCACTTGTCACATCAAGACAATGTAGAGCTGTCCAAGAGCTCTGAAGAAATTATAAACTGTCAGCTCACATCTCAGAGGATTAAAACTCAAGGAATCTAACTGATCTCAATAATATCATCTATCACTAAACATGGTTTTACTTAGAGCTAGTAACAATGTTACATCTTCAGAGACATTTCAGAACAGAGTAAACAAGTCAAATTGCAAAGGTTGACTGTCCTCAAATTGTTAAAATTCATGAATGCTTTTCCAAAATCAACTCTGCCATTGCCTTCACCACACACAATTTCTACTGGTGTCTGCTTTTCAATGGTTCAGACAATAAGGACGGTTACACAGACCAAGCTTACCTAAAATTAAATCAGAAAGCACTTCGTTCTAAAAAAGAAGAGAACCAGGGAGTTTCTGCTTTGATTTTAGCTCATTTCTAACTTGCACAGCTTTGTTCTGCTCATGCTTTGCACCAATCAAAACCTCTAACATCACATTATTACAGCATCAAGCTTGCACAACGCTTTGTAGACAGATCCTGGTGTTACATTAATGATGGGTGCTTAGGACAACGGGAACATGGGTTGCCAAGATCCCAGCCCACTCGTAGTCAAACAGCAATACCCCTCCTTTGTGCCTGCACAGGTGCCCACGTGGCCAGGGAGCAGGCCAGCGCAGGCAGGAGACACCCAAACACTAATACTTTCCCCTCCTCCCACTTTTGTTTCCTGGATCCGCTTCCTAAACCGGTGTACCTCACATGCAGAGTGCTGGCATGCGGAAATGCAGAACGAACAGCCACAATTTAGACCTGCTTAGACTGCTCTGCAACAACCTCCTCTGCCTACACCGCACAGGACACCGGCTTGCATTCAGCTCGCCCAAAGGAAAAGATGAGTATGATTACATCTGCTTCCACTATACAAAGAATACATTTCTCAACTGACCAAACACAACAGGAACCCTATAAATCTACGTGGGAACTGTAAGTTCCACATATCCACACATCCTATTTAATATACAATGAACGTCCACTTAAATTACCGAAGGGTCAGCAATTTCAACACAAACTTTTCAGTCAAAACATCATACAGCTTTTAAGACTGGGTACAAAAGCACATGATGCATTACCTTATTTCTTCTAAATCCACATACTTCCATAATGAAACTTTCCCTTCCTCTTGTTACATATTACTTGGAGACAGTTCAATTATCTTAAGTAACAGAATCAGTCATGTTTACCTTAATATTGCCTAAAATCTTGACATTTGTTACTTATTTAGCCCATAATGAAACTGATGTTGTAACACAGTCATTAAAAAAACAGGTTTTAATACTATTTCCTGCACATATTCTTCTGGGCACATATACACTGTGTTCCCATTTGGATAATCTGCCTCTTTATTAAGTATACACATTTGAAAAGAGGCTCTGATATGATCAGCAAAAAAAGAGAAAGAGCATAGAAATCAGACAGTCTTCTGTGGGTCTTCTACAAGTGTACAGAGCTCTTGGTTTTTCTCATCCAAAGCCACTAACAGCAATTCACTCTGTTCTGTGTAACATATTACAAAATAAATGGCTAAGGCGCTGAGTGATATAAAATGATAACACTTGATCAGTCAATCTCAGGAAACCTGAAACAAGCAATCTACTTCCACCACAGATTCTCTGCATAACCACGGTCACATGCACCTGTCTCCTGTGTCTCAAAACTCCACGTATAGCTAACTCAGAGCATTTCACAGACGCATCCACTATGGACAATGAGTAATTATTGTGGTCAAGAGCATAAATGGCAAAGACAATTACTTTGCAAGAAATCAAGAATGAAGAGGGGGGGAAAAAAGCACCTCACGCAAATAAAACACACAAAACCTCTTGTATTTTCTAGGAAGGAAAATCCTATTATTTCTATTGCAGTAGTAGCGTGTGAAATCCTGATCGCTAGTAGAGCTGATGCGTGAAGTGTTGTAAAAACCTGTCCTTTTGAGCTTACAACCCAATGAGGTAATTTTAAAAGAATTAAGAAATATATTTTTCCTAAACTTGATATAGTAATTGAGTATCATATTAGGAAATTAATCTCTTTAGAAGTTATTTTTCCACACACTGCATATACTAGCATAAACTGTGAAAAGTTTAGTGTTAAAATCTTTTTCTGCTCTCAGTAGTTCTTCCTGTAAATATACCATTAGCAGACCACGTTCACACTGCTAGATTTCCCCCTGTCCCCCTGCTTCTAGCACATGCAGCAGCTTCTGCTTACAGTGGGATGCTCTCTTTCTGCACCACTGGACCATACCCCAGCTACACTGCTCTAGTGGCACTATCTTATGCAGCAGCAAAATCCACTATTTCTGATGAGGCATTAGCTTGAACACAGTCACACTGAGGGGGCGGGGGGGGGGGGGGGGGGGGAAAACTAAAACCACCCCCCTCAGTTAGTTCTTCCAAAAGCTTCACAAACCTTCCTGGTACTACACCGTAAGCAAGCAGGTTCAACAAACACAAGTAATACCTACTCCTTTTTATCAGTACAGCATTATCAGTGATCTGACATGAAAAAGTTCTTGCATTTTAGTTTCAGCTCTCACTTCAGACATAATTTCAGTAAAAAGTGTTTCACAAACTGCTCTGGTCACCTACACGTGACCACCCAAAAGCCAGGTGCCAAGCATGCCTGGCTTGCATGCTGACAAAGCACCACCTGTCTCCAGTAGCATCTAAAGTAGACGTGACACTAGATTTCAGAGGATGTTGCTGGAAACAGCCTACCAAGCGCTGTTCTGATCTAATCCACTCTTGCAGGTCCCTCCATCTTTAAGGCAAGAGCCACCATGACCTCTTTACCATTCATCCATCTTTCTACAGTACAATTTCTACTGACAGGACCCTATGGATAATACAAGCCTGCAGATGGAGCTGAAGAGCAGTTCAATCTGGTTGCTGTACACAAGAAACTCAATCTTTGCTACTGAATATAGACTGAAAGGTTGGGGCAGCTTCAGGAAGAGATGATCTCAGTTGCTGCACATGTTACACTGAACTAAAGCTGACACTTCAGAGAGCAGCCCTTCCAAAAGTCCTACTAAAAAATACGATGAGGTAAAAAGGGTGTGAAGTGCAGAAAGTTACAATGGC